TCTTCCTAACACGCAACTGGGGGACATAACCGGTGTTGACACAGGAACACACAAGGTCATGACAGCTTTTCTAGGCGGCAGATAATTGCTGAATTGACGATATCATTCTCCTGACAGCTACTGCCTGCACTTACAACCGCCGCCGTTTGTGTCCACGAAGGATGTCCCGCTCTTCAACATCCTCCAAGCTGCTTATGAGTAAGATTCTAAGAGAGATATGAGCCATCTGCCCGACGGTTTAATTTGTTCACGATAATCGAAGTACATTGTATGCCCTGGATAGTGTCAGGTGTTACGCTGAAAGTAGGCTAAAAGATACTCACACCCTGCAGACGGCTTTAAGCATAAAATGAGGAGAGGTAACTGAAAAAACCACCTGACCTACTCCACCTGCGAGAGGAGACGGGTGAAAGCACGCAGAAGTAAGATGGGCAAATTATTTCAGACTTGGCATCGGCAGGCAAAGATAGACACCAATTTTAAGTGAGTACGACAATGAGGATCACAAGCCTAGTGGTCATGATAACCATAGCAGTCGATTGGCCAGATAGCCAGACCCCTCATTGGTCATGGGTCACGTTAGAGGAGTGTCCCAAAAAAGCCTGCCACGTTAAAGATTTGCTTTCTAGAAAATTAGTGCGGCGTGAAACAAAACAGAGCACGTTACCAGCCGACAGCATGGGTGACACGCACCCCAATGTTTACTATTGCGTTCAAAAGGGTTGGACGAGGAGGGTGAATCAACCGTGGTGGGCATCATCCGCCCCTCCGCATACACATTTCTGGATAGACAAAGCAACTCCCGGGAATATTTTATAGCCACGCATTCCGGCCAACTTTCTGTGCGACAGTTACTCACTGTGAGACAACTTAAACCACCACGATTAAGTCAAAACATACCTCCATGTCTCGATGAAGAGAGGCCAGGAGATTCGGCTTCTCCTGGCTGGCACAAAAATCCCGATAGGCAGTCATCTTTTCATCATTGACCTTGCTGAAAGAACAAAAACGGGAGGAGTAAGGCGTTAGAGGAAAAAAACAGGATAAAGAAGCTACCAGGAAGCTTTATGTCCTATAAAGGGCCAGACGGTGGCGTCGACCACAGTCTGACCACTCACCTGACAGTAAGGAAGTAGAGCAAGTGATAGCCGACACGCGGCTGTCGGGCCTGCATTTCAGTAAGCAGAAGGAGGAGGAGTTCTCGTTTCGGATCGGACGAGCTCATCTCACAGAGGTGGCGCAGGGGCACAAAGACAGGGGACGCCAGGCTATCCGAAATGCGTCTGAAATGGGCAGAAAAACAAGAGATG